TTGATACTCTAACCGCTGAACCAAACCAGCCACAGGTGTCTACTTTTTTTTTTTTAGCTGAGATTTTAACAGTGAACATGTTAAACCAATAGGCCAATTTGGGGAAAATTGGTATCTTGATTATGTTGAGTCTTCTAGTCTATGGACATGGTCTGTCTTTTCACTTATTTAGATCGTCTTTCATATTTTCAACATTTTTGTAGTTTCTAGTATCTAGATTCTGCATGTTTTATTACATCTGTACATTAGTATTTAATTTTTTGGGAAGCTGTTATAAATGGTATTGTGCTTTTAATTTTTTCTAATTGTTGATTACTAGTACATAGATAGTATTCCTTTTTAAAAAATATTTTCTCTATTGATTTTAGAGAGAGAGAGAAATAGAAACATCGATGAGAGAGAACATCTACTGGCTGCCTTCCACACGCCCCCCACTGGGGATTAGTCCCACAACCTGGGTGTGTGCCCTGACCAGGAATCGAACCCATTGGTTCATGGGTCGATGCTCAACTAGTGAGCCACACCAGCCGAGCTGACAGTATTGATTTTGTGTGTTCACCTATATTCTGTAAACTTGATAAATTCATTAGTTCTAGCAGTTCTTTGCTCTTAATTCCTTGGGATTTTTCAATGTACACTATCATGTCATCTGTGAATAGGGTTAGTTTTATATATTCCTCTGATCTGTTTTTTTAATTTCCTTTTCTTGACTGATTTCACTGGCTAGGACTTCAGGTACTGTGTTGAGTAGGAGTGATGAGTGTAGACATCCTTGCCTCCTTTCTTAGAGGGAAAGCATTCAATCTTTAAACATTACTGTGTTAGCTATAGATATTTTGTGTAGATACTCTTTTTCAAGTTCAGGAAGTTCCCTTCTATTTCTATTTTGCTGCAATTTTTATCATGAACATGTGTTAAATATTGTCATTTTTTTCCTGCATTAATGAATGTGATCATGTTTTTTTCTTTATTGTTTTAATTTACATTTCTTTGATGATAAATGGTGATTTTCATGTGCTTTTTGGCTGTTTTGTTTTTATCTTGTAACACTGATAAACTTTCAGAAAAGTTTTAGTACAGCACAAAGAACTTCTCTTTTTCTGAACCAGTTTAATGTCTCCTTACACCTTAATATTTTAGTATGTGTTACAATTAAAGACATGTGCTGCATGTCCAAAATACATCCATCAAATTCAGAAAATTACATTGAGGCATTTTTACTATCTAATCTTCAGATTTTATTAAAGTTTTGCTAATTGTTCCTGTATTGTCCTTTATGCCTAAAGGATCTAGTTGAGAATTACATGTTGCATGTAGTTTCATAAGTCTTTGGTATCTAGTTTAGAATAGTTCTTACATTTCTCCTTGGCTCTCAGGATCTTGATTGAAGGTTATAGCTCAGTTGTTTCATAGAAGGCTGTTCAGTTTGAGTTTTCTCATGATTAGATTCAGGTTATGTGTTCTTGTCAGGCACATCAGAGAAGTGATGCAGTGTTCTTAGTGCATCCTGTCACCTGGCTCATTATTTCAATTTGTCTTGTTACTAATAATGTCCACATTTGTCATCACTTGGTTGAGTAGCATCTGCTAGGCTTTATCACTGTAAAACTATTTTTCTTGAAACCCTTTTAATTAAAAGAGTTTTTGGGGAGGGCATTGAAGCTGTGTGATATCTCATTCTCCTAAATTTTGGTTTACTTATTTATATCTGTATGGAATCATGGTTTTCTATTTTATTCAGTAAGTTATAATCTATTATTATTATTTATTTAGATGTTCAGATTGTCCCTGATTTGGCTTGTGGGAATTTTGTCAGTCTGGCTTCTGTGTTCCTTTGACATACTCCCATCGTTCTTGGAGTGCTATTACTTTCTGGTGAAAGATGACCTAGGTTCACTGTGTACTTTCCTGCTTTAGCCCTTATTAGCCAATTCTCCACGGAGCCTTGGTTCTTAATGTACAGTGGTATTTAGATGCCAAGGTCAAGGTTCTAGATGTGTGCTATTTTTGGGGTGTTGCTGAGTCCACTTCCTCTTAATGGGAAAGGCTAAGGAATATTTGGATTATTTGCACACACATATGCATTTACATCTAAATTTATGTTTAGCTTTATCTAACTAAATATGTTCAAAATCATGAGTTTACACCAGTAACAAATTCTAATGCAAGGCCAGAGGATTCATTCTAGTTTCCTCCCTTTCCATATTTGTAACTTTGTTTAATCCTCACACCCTCTTATATAACTTATCTCCTTTTTCATCGGGAGATAAAAGGAGTGCCCCTTTCTTGCAAAGATGTTTTCTTTATGTGTCTTGGGTTTTAATACCCTATGCTGGGCTGGCTCCCCAAGGATGGTTGCCTCTCCTGCTCAAGCTATGATCCTCCCCACCAGGTTGCCCTCTCATATACTACATGCCGTCCTCACTCAACTTGGGCTTTGATACCCTGCCCCTTGTCATTTTTTGTTTGGGCATTTTATCCTTCTTGAGCTCTGACTCTCACACCATGTCACTCTTATGTGTGGATACTGTTTGTGCCCCATTCGTGCTGATAACTTACTCATGTCTACTGGGGGTGCTACTCTCCTCCCAGTGGAAGGAATGATTAGTTTGGGGAAGAAAATGGCAGCTTTTCTCTTTAAAAAATAGTTTTTTGTTTGTTTTTGTTTTTTATCCTCACCTGAGGACACCTTTCCATTTTGTTGTTCAGATAGAGCGGAAGGGAGGGAGAGAGAAAGAGAAACATCGACATAAAAGGGACACATTGAACGGCTGCCACCCGCACAACCCAACCAAGGATGGGGACAAACTGCAACCAAGGTACATGCCCTTAGCGGGAAATGAACCCAGGTCTCTTGGAACTGCAGGCCAATGCTCTAACCGCTGAGCCAAACTGGCCAGGGCTGTTTTAGTTTTTAATTGTTAAATTTTTTAAAAATGTACTTTGGAAAGTATATTTTCTAAACATTTTCTTCCAGTCTGCTAGCTGCCTTTTAATTTTTATTAATGTGTCTTTAATTAGAAGTGTTCAACTTTGTAAAAGTCCATTTTATCAAATTAAAAAATATATAGTTAATGTTTTTAGAAATCTTTCAGAAGCTTAATATTTCTGGCTCCTACATTTAGGCTTCTGGTTCATCTTTAATTTTTGTATGTAGTTTTAGGTAGTGGTTCAGGTCTGTGTTTTTGTTTAATTCCAGCATTATTTATGGAAATGATTTTTATAGCCTTGGTACCTTTCTCAAAAATTAGTGGACTGTATTTGTGGGGATATGTTTAGGTCATTAAATCAAGTAGTGCTAGTAGTGTGAGTCTTTCAACTTTGTTCTTTTCAGATTGTTTTGACTGTTCAAGACCCTTTATATTTTCATATAAAATTTAAAATCAGCTTGTCAGCTCAGCTGGTGTGGCTCAGTGGATTGAGCTTCATCCCATGGACTGAGAGGTCCTGGTTTGATTCTCCGTCAGGGCACATGCCCGGGTTCCAGGCTCGATCCATGGTAGGGGTGTGTGCAGAAGGCAGCCAACTGACATTTCTCTCTCACATCAGTGTTTCTATCTCTCTCTCCCTTCTTCTCTCTCTCAAAAGAAACAGCCCTGGCCAGTTTGGCTCAGTAGTTAGAGCATCAGCCTGTGGACCAGAGAGTCCCAGGTTCAGTTCCTGCTAAGGGAATGTGCGTTGGTTGCAGTTTGTCCCTGGCCCCAGTTGGGGTCGTGTGGGTGGCAACCAGTTCATGTGTCTCTCTCACATCGATGTTTCTCTCTCTCTCCTCTTCCCTCTCCCTCCCACTCTATCTGAAGATAAATGCAAAAATGTCCTCGGGTAAGGATAAAAAAATAAAAAGTAAAATCAGCTTGTTCGTTTTTACCAAAACAGTGCCTGTTGGGGTTTTGATTGGGGTTGTATTGAATCTGTAGATCATTTTGGGGAGAACTAATCTTAACATTGATTTTTCTAATTCATGAATATGGTATATCTCTTCATTTAATTTAGACATTTACTTTTTCTTAGTAGCGTTTTATAGTTTCCTAATTTTCTTCTTCTATTTTTTTTTTTAATCCTCAGCCGAGGATATTTTTCCATTGATTTTGTGTTGTTGTTCAGATAGAGTGGGAGGGAGAGAGAGAGAGAGAGAGAAACATCAATGTGAAAGAGACGTATCCAGTGGTTGCCACCCATATGACCCAACCAGGGCCGGGGACAAACTGCAACTGAGGTACGTGCCCTTAGCGGGAACCGAACCCAGGTCTCTCCGGACCGCAGGCCGATGCTCTAACCGCTGAACCAAACCGGCCAGAGCTTTCCATTGATTTTTAGATGGAATGAGAGGGAGAGAGAAAAACATGGATGTGAGAGGCGAGACACATTAATTGGTTGCTTCCCATACAACCCTGGCAGGGCTGGGGATCGAACCTGCAACCAAGGTACATGCCCTTGACGGGAATCGAACCTATGACCCACCCTTTGGTCCATGAACTGATGCTCTAACTACTGAGCAATTTGGCCAGGGTAATTGTGTCCTAAGTATTTAAAAATTTTGATACTATTGTGAGTGAAAATGGCTTTTCAGTTTTTCACTTTAGCATATATATAGTTGATTTTTTTTTGTATTGTTGAAAATATTACAAATGTTCCCCTTTTTTCTTCATTGCTCCCCTCTTTTCTGCTCCCACCCCCCTCTTGCCTTACCCAGCCTAATGTCCCTGTCGATTGGTTGTGCATATATGCGTATAAGTTTTGGTTTATCTCTTCCCACCTCTTCCACCCCCCATCCCTCAGATTTGTCAGTCTGTTCCCTTTTTCCATGACTCTGATCTCTTTTGGTCGACAGCTTATTTTGTTCATTATGTTCCACAAATAAGTGAGATCATGTGGTACTTGTTTTCTTTGACTGGCTTATTTCGCTTAGAAAATACTCTCCAGGTCTCTCCACGCCATCTCAAAGGGTAAGAGATCTCCCTTTCTTACAGCTACATAGTATTCCATTGCATAAATGTAAAAAATATATGGACTGCTTCACGGATATGCGTGTTATCTTTGTGCAGGGGCCATGCTAATCTTCTCTGTATTGTTCCAATTTTAGAGTATGTGCTGCTGAAGCAAGCAATGTAGCTGATTTTTTTAACTTAATTTTTATTTAATTTTTGACATCACAGTTGCTTTATTATTCTCCTCTCTACATATTGTTTTTGTTCTGTACCAGTGTCAAGTTGCAGATATTAATGCCCCTTTATTTCTCAATACTTATTAAAAGCAAGGAAATTTCATACCCATTTCAGTTATCAAAATCAGAGAATTAACATTGATACAGTACTGTTTGCTGTCTGATCTGCATACTTTAGTCAAATATTGCCTATTGCCAGTTGTAAAATTAAATAAAATTTTGGTCAATGATCCATCCATTTCTGGATCATTTGGTGCATTTGTTTGCCAACTCTTTCTTTTTTTCCCAGGCTTCAAAATTTTTAATTTGCATATTTAAAAAATTATGCATTCCAAATTAAAATAATTTTAACAACTACAAAAAATGGCACTCAGATTAAACTGCATTTTACAGCCTGCAGGACACTTTGGACCAGCTTGATTTTTACTCTAGATTTCAACTGTTTTCCCACCCAGTTCTTCCTTTACCAACAAGCAGGTTCTTTTCCTTCCCTGCCAGCCAGACAGGCTCATTTCTTTGTTCTTTTTTCAGGCTTATTTCTTTTAATCTGGAAAAGTTCCCACACATTTTTTTGTGACCTTAATATTATTTATTTATTTTTCAATTACAGTTGATGTACAATATATTAGTTTCAGGTGTGCAACATAGTGATTAGACATTTATGTAACTTACCAAATAATCACCTTTACAAATCTAGTACCCACCTGACACCATATATAGTTACGTATTACAATATAAATTTGACCTTAATATTTTTTAAGGGTATAGGCCATTTGTTTTTTTTAGAAAAGTGACCAGTTTGCTTTATCTAATTAAAAAAACACACACACACACCATATATGTATATATATTTTTTTATTTTAGAGAGAGAGGAAGGGAGAGAGGGAGAAAGAAACATCAATGTGAGAGAAACAAAGATTGACTGCCTCCTGCATGCCCCCTGCTGGGGATTGAGCCTGCAACCAGGGCATGTGCCCTGGTTGGGAATCAACCTGTGACCTTTTGATGTGTGGGACTATGCTCAACCAACTGAGCCACATAAGCCAGGGCTGATTTTTATGTTGTTATTGTTTTTTTTACAAAGATTTTTAAAAGTTATTTTAATTGATTTTTAGAGAGAGAAACATCGATTTGTGTTCTGCCCACTTATGCATTCACTGGTTGATTCTTGTATGTGCCCTGACCAGGGATTGACCCCACAATCTTGGCTTATCAGGACGATACTTTCATTTTCAGATTCGAGTAGTACATTTTTGACAGGAATATTTCAGAAGTGATGTTTCTTCTCAGTACATTGTATCAGGAGACAAATAAATTCTATTTGTCTGGTTTCTGATAATGATAACTTCAGTCACTGGGTTACGATGGTGTCTGTCATGTTTCTCCACTATAATTTTATTGTGAGATACTATCAGTCTCGTCAAACTTGCATTCACTAGTTTTAGTGACGAATGATTCTTTCCTGAAACAGCTATTATTACTGTGATGGTGGTCAAATGTTGCTTTTTAAAAGTACACCATTCGTTTTACATTTATTTATTTTTGTTAATCCTTATCCACAGGAGCCAAACTGGCCAGGGCTCATTTGTAAGGAAGAGCCTTCCTTTCTCCCCCATTTGGTTATTCATTATGGATTCCTATTTTATTGTTGAGTTATTTGTTGCTATCTTTTTTTTAATGTTCTTATTTGTCAGTCTCAGAAAATCTCATTTATGACAGGACTCAGATTTAGAGGTAGAAGCTCTCAAAGAGGACAGCCTATGTCTCTTGGTAATCTGTTCTGGCATTTTTCTTTGGCCTCCTTCATTCTCTTAGCCAGAAGTTGAGCATGTTTGGCAGCCTCTTTCTTTCTTAGAGTCTAAGAAACTCTTTCTTAGTTTTCTTAGTATGTTGTTTCTTCAGAGCAATGAGCTGACATTTGTGTTGCAGGACATGTGTAGTAGTAACAAGGCGCTGAATCCTGGGCGCTTTAATCCTAGGTTTCTTACCTTCTTTTTTTGGTGGCTTTCTCATAACATATTGGCGAACATCATCTTTAGAGAGATTGAAAAGTTTGTGAATTCTGCTAGCTCTTTTGGGCCCCACATGACGAGGCACAGTAGTATCAGTGAGATCAGGAATATCTTTCTCCCCCTTTTTAAAAAAAATGACCAAGTTGAGAACACTGAGATTGGCATCCACAGTGTAACCCCAAACAGATTTGTGCTTTCTCTTGCCACTCCTCCTTGGTCTATAACAGGAATGCCCCTTACTCAAGAGCAGGCAGACACAGCCATGGGTCAAGATGCCCTGCTTCATGGGGAAGCCTTGTTTGTTGTTGCCACATAGCCTTTCCATTTTTCACCCAGAGTGGCAGCAGCAACTTGTATAGCCGTAAACGTCTCATAAAAGGTACAAAGTTTGCATTCATCATCCACTTCAGTGAGTTTCTGGCAGCCAGTGGCTGGGAAAGAGATGTTCAGCTTCATCCTGAAGCAGTCGATTGCTTCCAAGGTGCCATGAAAAAGAACCGCCGCTACTATTTTTAACTTTTTTCTTAAATCCTCACCTGAGGATATTTTTTCATTTATTTTCAGACAGAGTAGGAGGGAGAAATAGAAACATCGATGTGAGAGACACACATCGATTGGTTGCTTCCCACATGACCCCGGCTGGTTGCTTCCCACATGACCCTGACCAGAGCTGGGGACCAAACTGCAACCAAGGTAGGTGCGCTTGACCAGAATCTAACCCATGACTCCTTGGTCCGCGAACTGACACTTGAACCTCTAAGCCAAACCGGCCTGGTCTCATTTTTAACTTTAATGCACAAATTGTACAGTTACCCAGTGGGTTTCCCTTCACTCTAGTTTTTGTGTCCTTCTAACATTCCCCCCGCCCCCATTCTTGAACCTTTTTTTACTTATTTGCTTTCTGGCCCAGTAAGATGTCTGGGCTTAGCTTGTATTTTCATAGTCCCAGCTCTGGAATCTACTCTTTCATAGGCAGGTCTGGGTCCTTTTAGTTGGTTCATACTGATACCTTCAATTCCAGCATTTTATTACAGGGTTCATTCTAGCTTTAACCCTCTTACATAATAATTTGCTACTCGAAACAGTGAGAAATCTGCCTCTCACTATCTACTTGATATCTATTTGTTTGCTCAGTTCTAGAATAAACATTTATTAGTGTCAGAATTGGTCTAGCCAGTGTGGCTCAGTGGATTGAGGGTATGGACTGAGAGGTCCCAGTTTGATTCCCGGTTAGGGCACATGCCCAGGTTGGGGACTCGATCCCATTTAGAGGGCATGCAGGAGGCAGACGATCATTGTTTCTGTCTCACATAGTTGTTTCTATTTCTCTTTAAAAAGAAATTAAAGCCCAACTGGTGTGGCTCAGTGGTTGAGCGTCGACCCATGCACCAAGAGGTCGCCAGTTCAATTCTTGGTCAGGGCACATGCCTGGACCGATCCCCAGTTGGGGGGCATGCAGGAGACGGCCAGTCGATATTCTCTCTCACCGATGTTTCTCTCTCTCTCTCCCTCTTCCTTCCTCTTTCTCTAAAAATCAATAAAGAAAAAAAAATTGTTTTTAGTTTTTTAAAAAAAGTGTTAGAATTGCCAGCCCATTCCACTGTGGAAAAACAAATCTAACCAGAGCTCATAGTTCATAGTTCCTTTAGTTCTTTAGCCCGAATGTAAATAAAGAATCACTACACTTTCTCTTTTCAAGGCTGTGGGAAAACAGGCACTCTCATACATTGCTGTTAGGAACACAAATCAGTACACCTTATTGAAAAAGAGGAATTTGACATTATTAACACAATTACTTTTTTTAAAATTATGTTTTTATTAATACTTTAGAGAGAGAAAAAAAAAAATTGATCGACTGTCTCCTGCATGCCCCCCCAGTGGGGATTGAGCTTGTAACCTGGGCATGTGCTCTGACCAGGAATCAAACCAGGACCTCTCAGTCCATGGGACAACACTGAGCCATACTGGCTGGGCAACAAAATTACTTTTGCCTCTACCTTTTGGCCTGGCATTTCCACGTCAGGAATTTACCCTGAAGATACAACTTCAACAGTGCAAAAGTACAAATTCACAAAGCAGTAGTGTTTCTATTTGTACAATATTAAAAACCATCTAAATGCTGGGGGAGTGGTTGCATAAATAAAATTCCATATACCTGCATTATGGATATACAACTGAGAAGAGAGTGAGGAAGATTATCTATGAACCAATAGTGACTTCTAGGATGTATTGTTAAGTGAAAAACGAAAAGTGTAAAATACTACATGGCATGCAATTTTTTCCCGAGGATGGGGGGTGGGGGATAAAATAGATGTGTATTTTATCATTGGTGGGAAATGAAACACAAGAAGAATAAATCAGAAACTATATTGGTTACCTAATACTCTGAGTATAACCTTTTATTATAGATTTGACTTTTATAATCATGTTTTACATACTCAAAATTAAATAAGTAAAGTGATGAAGATGAAAAATGAAAAATAAAGTGGATTACAAACAGAAAATACAAAGCCTAATGCTATTATTAACAGCTGTAAAATTCTTTCTGAAGGGCATCAGTCCTGTTCCCAGCTCCGTATGGACTCTTTGTAGGATGGCTAACTGTCCTGGTGGCTTTTCTCTTCAGCTTTTAGACTTTGGCTTTCTTTTCCCTGCTGAGTCAGTTACTTCTTATCTTCCTGCAATCCATCTTCCAGAATTCTCTTGACATTTCTCATCTGCTGCCTTTTCCTCCCCCTTTCTCTTTGTGCATTTATACTTTTGTTATTTCCTTACAGTAATTATAATGAGGCTTCAGGAGGATGCAAAGAACAGGGTGTTCATTTTGTGTTTAAAATGGAAGCTCAAGCTTTTGTGCAGAGAAAGTGGGAAATGCCCTTGACTTCTATGCCAGACCCTACCCCTGTAACCTCATCTGCCACCGAGGC